CGCCGCTCCCCCCCCCCCCCCCCATCCTGTCGGGTATACTCACTTGAAGTTGATGTTGGCGCACACCAGCACGTCGTTGAGGAGGAAGAGTTTGCGTTCCTTAGATTTGAGGAGTTGTCCTTTTTCCCCGTACACCATCTCGGTGAGGGTCTCGCACAGGAGGAGCTGGTGCTGCCCGGAGCTCAGACTCTGCAGACACAGACAGGGAGGAGAGGTAAACACAGAGTGTGCGAGGACTCTGCTGCCACCTGCTGGCCGTTCTGGATACTGACACCATAACATCATACTGGCAGCCAGCAGTGACAGCAGTTCAGCTTTACAGGGAATAACTGTAGCTCATCACACTCATCACACAGAGTCATCATTTATATGGCGGACCAAAAACTGAACAAATAAGGACTAAAAACTGCAGTCTAAGTGTCCTGCGTCAGTCTTCGCTTCCTCCCACACCACCATTCATCGGTCGGGTTCCTCACCTTGTGCAGGGCGCTCCTCTCATTTATACTCTTGCACAGCTGCTGGATTTCCGCCACCTGGTCGGCGACTCGCTTCTGTTCGTTCAGCTTCTCCGCCAGAGTCTCCATCTCGGTCAGAGCCAGCTGTAGCGACAGGCGGTCCGCGTGCCCCCGCGGCGTGTTCTTCAACATGTCCTGCCAGAGGGATGACCAACGCAGGGATCACAGTGAGAAGGAGGAGAGGGTAGGGGGCCTGGAGGATTCTGGGGGATGGGGGAAGCATTACCTGCAGGAGGAGGATGAACTGGGGAAACCGCTGGATAGGTTTCACCATCAGCCCGTACAGCGTCACCCGGTCCGGACTCGCGGCTTGTTTCTTCTGATGGAGACACAGATAATGTACCGTGAAAACGTGATGTGCACACATACCCAGAGATCGGACCGACCTCCGTGGCTGCTTCCAATATGATTTACATCAACCCAATATGTATATACACACACACAATACATATCATCATCATAGACCCATCATCCATTCATGATCAATCCATCCATCATAGATCCATCATCCATCCATCATCATCTTTACCATCATCCATCCATCATCAATCCATCATAGACCCATCATCTTCATCATCCATGACCAATCATCATCCATTCATCCACCATCATCAATCATCGTCATCAATCCATCATAGACCCATCAACTTCACCATCATCCACCCATCATCTTCACCATCATCCACCCATCATCCACCCATCATCTTCACCCATCATCCACCCATCATCTTCACCCATCATCCACCCATCATCCCCCCATCATCTTCACCATCATCCACCCATCATCTTCACCCATCATCTTCACCCATCATCCACCCATCATC